CTTTTAGAAATATCTTTTTTTCATACCTAACTAGTGACACAGTGAGACAAAAAAAAAAAAAAAAAAAAAAGAATCTCAGTCTGGTGGAGGGATAAACACTGAATATGTCCCCAAGTCTCATCCTCTCATTCCCTGAGTCCCCAGACAGGGTGCCCTCAGCTTTTCAGACATTGGCTATGAGTATCCTTGGCCTTCCTAAAATGCCAAGGTCCTGCCAGCCCTACACATGGCTTCCCTGCCCACCAGGACATCCTCCTTCTCCTGGCCTGCTTCTCCCTGGCTGTTGGGTGGTCCGTGCTGGCTGGGCTTTTGTGAGGCTGTGCTTATGTGTCTCTGTTGCCCTAGGAGCTGGCCTCATTCTGTCCATCTTGTCCGCACTCCAGGCCAGCCCCTCCTTAAAGGCTCCCTAGGAGTTCAGGTTTGTCTTTAATTCACAGTTCATTAGCAGATCAAAGAGGACAGAGACATCCTGAGTCCAAGGGACCCTCAGGCATCCCTCTCCTCACACTATAACAAAATGTCCCCTTGACAGGAGACACAGGAATCCTCCTTGGTGGCTCTTTGTGTGGCGGCTGGAACCTGGCTCCAGGGTTTCCCATCTGTAATGGGGCCAGAGATTCAGTTGTTGGGGGGCTGAGGCAAAGGCCCTGGGAAGCGGCACCAGCCCCTCCTTCAGAGCCTGAGCAGGACAAGGACAGTTAATTCCTCTGGTGTTATCAGCTGGGCACAGGCACTGGTTGCATAGCAACCCAGATTGCTCTCTGTCTCCAGTGCTCCAAAAAAAAAAAAAAAAAAAAAAAAATCAGCATTTTCTCCATGAAATGGAAATGGGTTCAGAACAGCCTAGGCGCCCTGCCCCCAAGTGTGGCTGGTTTGAAAGGACCTCCCACTCATACCACTTGGTGGGGCACCCACTCTTAAGACCTTCACCTTCCTCTCACTTCCTGCATGCCAGCCTGGGGGTAAAAATTCACTCACCATCCCACTGCTACAATGTGGGGCTGATCCAGAAGTTAAATCTGAGTTTGTTCAAGGGGATGCTGAACAGGTCTGGGATCGGGGTGTAGGAAGTGGGGGAGCCCCAGCCAGCCCTAGAAATGGAATAGATCTACTCATTCATTAAGAAATATTTATTGAGCACCTACTAGGTGCTCAAACCCTAAACTCCCCAGATTTGGTAGGTTAAAGATGGCCGCAAATTCTCTCTCTCTCCTGCCATGGAGAAGTGGAGTCTATTTCCCTTCCTCTTAAATTGGGGCTGGCTCTGTGGCCAGTAGAATGTGAAAGTAGTGGCATTGTATAACTCTGAGATTGAGCCCTAAGAAATTTTCTGTCTTTGCCATTTGAAATGCTCCTTCTTGGCACCCAATCACCATGATGTAAGGAAGCCCAAGCAGCCACGTGGAGCAGTCCTCCTGAAGTCTGTGCCTTTTGCCAGCCTTGTAAGTGATACCACCTGGAGCAGAAGAATCATTCAGCTGAACCCTGACCAAATCCCTGGCCCACAGAATTATAGGTAACTAAAACTATTCTGTCTTCAAGCTAGTGAGTTTGGAGTAACATATTATGCAATAATAGGTACAAAGACACAGGAGAGCTTACTTTCTCATTTATAGACTCTCATATATCAACATGATGTATCCCAGGCCCTGTGCTGAGCTCCAAAGCAAAACGTCACCCAAGAGGGCTGAACTCCAAAACTCTGGGGAGCTGGGGGCATCAGGAGATGGCACAGAGGCAGGAAAATGGAACCAAGAGCTCAGAGATCGGAGTAGACCATTAAATAAAAGCAATCTGCAAAGAAAGGGTCATGAAATCAGGTAGAGAAAGAATCTTAGTTGCTGACTAGACCACACAATTTTGAATTCGGGTTCCAGCTCTGAACATTTGGAAATGGGAATATGGACCATATCAGGAAAGATTCTGAGGTGAAAACTGAGCTCCAGGGTGACAGGTTAATGATGTCACACAGTGGGTGAGCAGAGGAGAGTGAAGGCACATGTGTCACACTGGTGCTTGAGCCCATGCTTTTCTGCTGGCTTCTGGGACTAACCCTTCTGGGCCCACTTAGATGTGGAGAGAGGCTGGGGAACAGGCTGCTCTTGCAGGCTTGTGGGAGCAGAGAAGAGAGGACCCCAGGCCTGCAGTCATAGTCAGCGATCTGGAGTTACAGAGCTGGAGTTTATAAACCAACCAAGCAGCTTCAGAGGATTTGCTTTTAGTTAGGTTTTCTATGTATCGTAGTCAATCAATCCTAATATTCCACTGTCTCCTGTGTTCTTGGGTCAGACTGTCACCTGGCTTGTTTGTTTTGTTGTCTTTGAGACAGAGTCTCACACATAGAACTTCAGGTTCACCTCAGACCTACTGAGTTAGCATCTGCACTTTAACCAGATTGCCAGATGATTTCATGAGCACGTTCAAGTTTAATGAGCATGGCTCCAATATACAGAGTTTTTGTTT